CTCCTACAACAATGAGGCTGGACAATGAATTTTTTATGGCAGGAATGACAGCAACAATCTTACATCCTCTAACAGTGCCTAGAGGCACTTCCCAGCTCAGAGCAGCCAACCTAGGAGAAATTGAGAGGGCTAGAGAGAAAGAGGTGTAAGCCAAGAGAAAAGGGGTGGGGTGGGGGAGACCTTGTGAAAACTCCTTCATAGAAACCTGAAAGCAGATGTGGGTGGACTTAGTAGCTGCTGGGATGCCCATAAGAAAAGATAACAACCTTTGGAAGAATCTGAAGCCAGAGCAACAATACTGCTCTCTTTGTCCTACTGCCCCACCCTAAACCCCACTCCTATGAGGAAATGTCCCTTGCCTCTGGGAGTACCTTGCTAGTCCCTGTGGACTAGGGATGGGGTCCTTGGTCACCTGCAGTTCAGTGTCCTGCAAGGGCACTGGAGGCCCCACATAGTGGTCACAATACATTGGTCAAAGATAAACAAGCAGCAAATACTAGCTTTCCTTAATGCAGGGGAAGAATGTACCCTTATCATTGGAAACCGTGAGTGGTTTCAAGCCCCCCCCCCCCCCCCGGCAATTGACATCCTAGGGATGGATGCCTTCAAGGAATTGGCTTTGATTCTGCCTGTGGGAGAATTCCGACTGTGAGTGAGGGTAGTGAAGGCAGTCCTGAGGGAATATGACATGGGAACCAGTAGCCCCCCTCTTCCCTACCATGAAAAGTGGTAAACATCAGACAGTATAAGTTGCCGGAAGTACTGGAGTACGTAAGGAAATCAGTAAAACCATTCTAAAACTGGAAAGGGTAAGTATCCTCCAGGAAGCCCATAGTGCTTTTAAAAGACCTTTGTGGCCTATGAAGAACCAATCTATTGGTTTCTTTACATTGATGGCATCATATTAACTGCTGAAGATGGTTCTCTGTTACAGGATTGTCTAGATGCTCTAATCACCCACCTACAGGGGAGAGGATAGGCTATGAACCCCAAAAAGGTGCAGAGGCCTGAACACTGGTAAAACTCCCAAAGGTTTTCTTGTTAGCCACAGTACAAGCTTATCCCACCACTAGGATGCCAAAAGAAGTATAAGCCTTTGTAGGTCTTTTGGGATTTATATTCCACTTAGTCCGATGTTTGAGATCACTCTATTGACTAGTAAAAATGACTGTTCCTTAGTGCTGGGGCAAAGAAGACCTGTAAGTTTTAGAGAAAGCAAAGTGGTTGATTGTGCAAGTGAAAGCACTGGGGACAATACAGGAAAGGCTACATATCAAGATGACTCCCCCCCCCCCCCAGAATAGGCCAGTATCCCTCTGTGTCCCATTGCCAATGAGTGTCAGCACCAAATGCTACTGATTGGTTGCAATATAAATACCCCCACATGACCTCAGGAGCATACCTTGCACTTAAGAGCACCCAAAGGAATATGGCTGTTACTTGTGGCCCTGGTTATTACCACACAGTTAGATAGAACACTGCACCTTGGGGTTGGCCTATGCTGCAGGGACTGTTAGGGAGTCCATACCAAAGCCTCTGAATTATCCTATGGCAAAAGCCAGGTGGACTAAGTGTAGTGTTTTCCACTGGTGTGCTTACCTTTTAAACGTTTTTGGTCCTCCCCTTGCCTCCTTAGAAATAATGTAACAAACTGAAGCTCTGACAAGTTTTACTGAGTATGTCCTGAATGATAGCAGAGAAAACTTGCAGCTATTAACTGTCAAAACCCCTCATATAAGGACGGTAATCCATCAGAGCTGAAGGACTCTAGATATTCTAACAGCTGCTCAAGGTGGGACATGTGCCAGAGCAAACACTGAGTGTTGTACCTACATACCAGACTACCACCAGAACTTTACTAATGTATTAGGCCACATGAAGAAGCAGATAGAGGCCTTGGACCTACCTGCTAGTCTGCTATGGCCACCTGGTTTTCCTCCTTCCTCTCTGGCTGACAAGGGTTTTGTTGGGCTTTGGTCTTTTCCTGGGAATAGGGTTGTCTGGCTGTGTTTGTCTATATTGCTGCTGTGGCCTGTATGTCCAAGTATACCAATGCTGCCTGTCTCTACCCTCATAATTGCAACACCTCTTCTCAGGGTCCTCAGAGAATTGTGGAAGAGAGAGCACACAAGATTGTAAGAACAAGCCTCAAGGAGTGGAATGAAGGGAAAGCAGGCTTTGCAAGACTCAACATAGTCATTCTTGCTTTCTGATAGCCCATTTCTGCTTGCTAAATCACTCTTATGTTATACCTGCTGAGGTGGTCTTAGAGGTCTGAAGTCCTGGCATGGAACAACCCTTATTCACCAATAACAACAACAACAACAACCCATGGAGGGATACGGAGAAAAGAACCAGTCTAGCCACCACCAGGGACCAGCCTTTTGTATAAATTCCCTAATAAACTCCTTGCTGCCACCCATGGAGTTCCCACCTTCGTCCTTCAGTCTCATGGTGATATAAGTAAATTTTAAGTTACTGGTCCATACCAAGACAGTTTCTAAAGCTCTAAAGCTTTAGGGAAGCAGATTGACACATATTTCTCCTGGGGAGTGGTTGGTGGGTTTGAACTGTCAACCTTTTGTTTAGCAGCCTAGCAGTTTAACCACCACACTACCAGACAATATGAACCCAGGTCTACCATATACCAAACCCAAAACCTTTTGCTATCAAGTCAGTTCTGACCCATAGCAACCTTACATGACAGAGTAGAATTGTCCTGTAGGGTTTTCTAGGCTGTCATCTTTACAGGAGCAGATTGACAGGTCTTTTCTCCCACAGAGCTACTCGTGGGTTGGAACAGCTGACCTTTAGGTTAGCAGCCAAATGCTTAACCATGCTCCAACAGGGCTCCTTGCTGCTTATAGGGGGCTGTTATTATTTGACACAAGCTGTTACTTTTGTGCAAGAATGTGGAATTAGATCTTCAACTTGTCAATGAGAAGTTGAAAATCTGGATTTTTTAATGCAAACTCTCTCACTTTTAAAAAGTTGACAAGAAAGAAATATTATTATTTAAAAAGAAATAACTACAACAGCATGTGGGCCAAAAACAAAACAACTATTTTCTAGATTCAACTTCAGACTCCCAGTTTACAGACTCTACCCTTGCACTAGGGTATGGTATTGTTGTTCCTTCTGTGCCAATGCTATTTCTTCCCACTTCTAAAAATTGGTTTATTTCCGGGCCAACACAAGGGTCCAGGACCTGGCTATCCTATTTTCTCTTAAAATTTCCTTGTTTATCCAGACTACTGCCAATATGTCACCATCTCCCAAGGATCCTGAGATCTGCCTGTGGCTAGGTCTGCCCACCTAGCCCTGCAGGTCCCAGCCTTTCTCCATCTGTCCTGTCACACTGTAGGAGAGCAGGCAACACCCAGTTTATTCTGAGATGAAATAGTAATTACAGCCTGTGTTTATAGCCATGCACTTTACTCTGGCACCCTACTGAGAGTTTTATAGGAATTATCTCACTTTATGTTTCCAATAATCCTGTAAATATAATTTCATAAAGTTCCTGATGGCAGATGGTCTACACAAGTCATTCAAAATGGCACAACAAATGGAAGATCTGAGATTCAAGCTCATGTCTAAAGCTAAGACCCACTCTACTGTCCCACACAGGAGATACAGGTAAGGCAGTGTAGGCAATATTCCTATACCTCTATACAGAAAGAAATGTGGGATACTTCTTATTCAGTTTCACACCATGCTTTGAAAATTCACTAAGTAGAATACCTTTCCAATTTTATAACCTCCTATATACAATAAATGATGGTTCCCAGGTTTGGGAATTCCTCGATCCACTAGTATTTCAAAGTATATTTTGGGGTCCAACATGTTGTTGTTGTTGTTGTTGTTGTTTTGCCATTGAGTCGGCCCCGACTCATAGCGACCCCTCCTTGGGTTTCTGAGGCAGTATCACTACGGAAGTAGGAATGCCCAACCTTCCTTCCGAGGAGTGGCTGGTGGGTTTGAACTGCCAGCCTTCTGGTTAGCAGTCAAGTGCCTTAGCCACTATGCTACCAGAGCTCCTAAGGGTCCAACATAGGGTTGTAAATTTATATTTTGCTAAATAAGGGAATTGTTAAAATTACCATATAGCATCACTGTCATTTCATTAAGCAAAGCCTATTTTAACAAACAGGCAGATAGAAACACACGACCCATAACTAAGAAAGTAGAAAGGACATAATCTTCAAATAAAAGATTATCCTTTCCTGGAAAGATAAATTAGTATCCTTATGTTGTTGTTGTTGTTATGTGCTGTCGAGTCGGACTCATAGCGACCCCTCCTTGGGTTTCCAAGGCAGTACCACTATGAAAGTAGATTGCCCCATCTTCCTTCTGAGGACTGGCTGGTGGGTTTGAACTGCCAGCCTTCTGGTTAGCAGTTAAGTGCCTTAGCCACTATGCTACCAGAGCTCCCTATTATCCTTATACTAACATGTATATAAATATAGAGACTAAGTACATTTTCAATGCATTAATTTTGTTACTGTCTTAGTTTTGTTACTTTATCATAGAACAGTAAACATTTTATTACAGACCATCACTATTATTCAGCTTCACTTTATGAAACCAGTGTTTTCATTTTCCCCATTTGTCCTCTGGTAATTGTCTGACTGGAGATAATTTAGGTGACTAGGGATTGGGAAACAGTACTAATTGTACCTGTGCTAGACAGAGTAGCCTGCCCATAACATGCTTCAATCTAGAGTCTCGATATTGGGCACAGAGGCAGTACCTCACTGAGAGCACACTGTGAATAAAGGTAAAAGTGACTTACCTTCCTGGCCCCATCCATGGAGCTACTAATTGTGTGTCCATGTGTATGTAGTGAAATGTGTATAAATTTAAAAAAAAAAAATGAAATGAAAATATTGACATGGCTTGATAAGAAAATTGAATGAAAATAGTTTATATCATTTTCTCAGACTCAAGTTAGCCAAAAGTGTGCACACAATGAGATCTTCTGTTTTAGCATGTACATGTACTTGCATGAAGAGTTCCCAGCCTATGATTACATGGTGGTTGATAAATTCTCTGGGAAGGCCGCTATTTGGAAATTGGAAAGACTTACCAGAAAACAAGAAAATAACAATATTATAAAACATGACTAGACTACAGCTCACAGGGTAGATCCAAAATGCCTTCCCTTAGTCTGAATATGAGTTAACTGAGGCTCCAGAGGTTAAATAATTTCCTCAAGTAGCATATAAACTTTTGAAAAACCAATATTAAATATGACATACCTTAATGGCTACTTCAGTTCTACCTTTCATCACCAATGACAATAACACAATACTCTAATTTTAACAGCATTGTTAAATAGGCTAGGGAAAGTTAGCTATGGAAATTCATTGCTATTTATAAAAATGATTCCATGGGAAAATATAATTCATCAAACAATTAAGTGATAAAAACATGGCTGTTTTTACAGACATGGTCCCTTTTTTTCATATTCCACTCCTTCAACCACCATGGCAAGGACATGTAGTCCATCCTGAGAAGAATTTGTTCCCATATCCCAAAAAGAGCTAATCATTTGATTTTGCATATTGGGAGTTCATAAATCAGTGTGCCTTATATGGAATGTGGAGTGAGTTTGTACCCACATCAACACTCCACATAAGACAGAAACTGGGTCACTGACATGTTTCCCGGGAATAGCTATTAGCACAGTTCTTAATTGGAATCCTATTTATTGTTCTGTTGGCTTAACATGCTTTAATGAGAGCTGTCACATGAAAATATCATTTGAGGATGGGACCCCACAGAAAAATAAAACCATACACTCCACAGAAACTTGCAAAATCTAAATATATTATCCCTTTTAGAGAGATAGTAACAAACAAATTAAACTAGGAATTCTCAGTCCAAAGAAGAAATGACTAAGGTGACTACTGAGGTTATAAAGGCATATACAATGAATATTCTTTTAGGTGTTTCTAATTTATAATCATTATCCTAGTCTCTCTAGTGATATACATACACACACATATGTGTGTGTGCTGGTGTGTGTGTACATATATATAATATGGATAATATAAGTGTTTTATATGACATATATAATATTATATGTGATATATATATTTACATACTTATACACACATATGTCATATATATTTAAAATATTCAAAAGTCTTTAAGAGACCAATATCAAGAAATGTGGTGCTATTTATGAAAAATGGCATCATACTTGAGAATTTCAATTTTCTTCTCCATTTTCCATGGCTTGCATTTGACATTGGCAATCACTTGTCTGTTCTCATCCAACTCTGCCTTCAATCTTTCCAATTCCTCCTCATCAATTTCTTCTTCTTCTTCCCTTTAAAAGAAAAAAAAAATATAATAATAGGCTTAACATTTAATGTAGTTAAGTTTCCCTTGGCTTCCAAACTTAAACAAGACTTAATACCACATACTCAGCCCAACTTTCTTTACTTGCCTATATATAGTCAATATAAAGATCCTTAAGCATTACAAATTCAATATGAACATGGATGCAGGATGTTGGGAATTATTACAACTTTAAACAATAGCATTAATTTTCTGAAGCCCTGAAATGATGGCTCATTTCATGTTCACAACTCAGACTCCCAGATCTAAAAAACCTGTGGAAAGAACTCTTACAGAGCAAATCAAGATGTCTTCCTCTCACCTTTAGTCCCTTGTACACCTTCCCCTACCAATTCCACATTTCATTTAATAACTTTATTTTGCAAAAATTAGGAGCAGAGATGTCTTTGAAGTGCCCTTAAGATATTCAAGTCAGCTCTGTCTCAAGAGATAGAGAAAAATTGAAATAAGGGAAAGTAAAAATCTATTTCTCAAAAGTAACATAGTCTGTTGACTAAGCTTAAAACTTTGATTGATTAAACTAAATTTGAAATATATTTAGTGGAAATGAATTCTTTGAGAGACCTTCAAGGGTCTCAAGCCTACAAGGAGGACCAGTTAATACGACTGTTATTCAAATTTATGCACCAACTGCCAAAGCCAAAGATGAGGAAATTGAAGATTTTTATCAACCTCTACAGTCTGAAATTGACCGAATGTGCAATCAAGATGTATTAATTATCACTGGTGACTGGAATGCAAAAATTGGAAACAAAGAAGAATCACCAGTAGCTGGGAAATTTGGCCGTGGTGACAGAAATAATGCTGGAAACTTCATGATAGAATTTTATAAGACCAATGACTTAATCATTGCAAATGCCTTTTTCAACAACACAAATTGTGGTTATACATGTGGACTTTACCAGATGGAGTACATAGGAATCACATTGACTACATTTGTGGCAAGAGGTGATGGAAGAGCTCAATATCTTCAGCCACAACATGGTCAGGAGCTGATTGTGGAACAGACCATCAACTGTTCATATGCAAGTTCAACTTGAAGTTGAAAACAATTAAAACAAGTCAATGAGAGCTAAAATATGACCTTGAATATATCCCTCCTGAATTTAGAGACCATCTAAAAACTAGATTTGATACGTTGAACACTGATGATCAAAAACCTGAAGAATCCATGAAGAAAGCAAGAGGTCATTAAAAAGGTGAGAAAAGAAGAAAAAACTAAAATGGATGTCAGAAGGGACTCTGAAACTTGCCCTTGAGCAGAGGGTGGCTAAAGAAAATGGAAGAAGTGACAAGATGAAAGAGCTGAACCAAAGATTTCAAACAGCAGCTCGAGCAGATAAAGCCAATTGAAAGGAAGAAAACGCTCGGCATTTCTCAAGCTGAAAGAATTGAGGAAAAAATGTAAGCTTCGAGTTGCAGTATTGAGAGATTCTATGGCAAAATATTGAATGATGCAGGAAGCATCAAACAAGTTGGAAGGAATACACAGAGTCACTGTACCAAAAAGAACTGGTTGATTTTCATCCATTTCCGGGGGTGGCATATGATCAAGAACCAATGGTATTGAAGGAAGAAGTCAAAGCTGCACTGAAGGAATTGGTGAAGAACAAGGCTCCAGGAATTGATGGAATACCCACTGAGATATTTCAACAAACGGATGCCCCACTGGAGGCACTCACTCGGTTATGGCAAGAGATTTGAAAGACAGCCACTTGGCCAACTGACTGGAAGAGATCCATATTTGTACCCATTCCAAAGAAAGATGATCTCACAGAATGTGGAAATTATAGAACAATATCATTAATATCGCACACAAGTAAAATCTTACTGAAGATAATTCAAAAACAGTTGCAACAGTATATTGACAGAGAACTTCCAGAGATGCAAGCTGGATTCAGAAGAGGATGTGGAATAAGGAATACCATTGTTGATGTCAGATGGATCTTGGCTCAAAGCAAAGAATACCAGAAAGATGTTTACCTGTGTTTTATTCACTATGCAAAAGCATTTGATCATGTGGATCAGAATAAATTATGGATAACATTGAGAAGAATAGGAATTCCAGAACACTTAATTGTACTCGTGAGGAACCTATAATAGACCAGGAGGCAATCATTCAAAAGAACAAGGGCACACTGCATAGTTTAAAATCAAGAAGGGAGTGAGTCAAGGTTGTATCCTTTCCCCATACTTATTCAATCTATATGCAGAGCAAATAATCCAAGAAGCTGGATTATATGAAGAAGAACATGGCAACAAGATTGGAGGAAGAATCATTCAAAACATGCAATATGCTGACAACACAACTTTGCTTGCTGAAAGTGAGGATGACTTGAAGCACTTACTGATGAAGACTGAAGAATATAGTCTGCAGCATGGATTATATCTCAATATAAAGAAAACAAAAATCCTCACAACCAGACCTAAGCAACTTCACTTGCTATGAATGGGGAAAATATTGAAGTTGTCGAAGGCCTCATATTGCTTGGTTCTATAATTGATGCCAAAGGAAGCAACAGTCAGGACATCAGACAAAGTGTAACACTGGGCAAGTTAGTTGCAAAGGGCCTCTTTCAAGTGCTGAGGAGCAAAGATATCTCCCTGAGGACTAATGTGTGCCTGACACAAGCCATGATATTTTCAATAACCTCATATGCATGTGAGAGCTGGACAATGAATAAGGAAGACAACAGAAAATTGATACTTTTGAGATGTGGTGCTGGAGAAGAATGCTGAAAGTACTAAGGATTGCTAAAAAAACTAACAAATCTGTCCTAGAAGAAGTGCAGCCAGATTGCTCCTTGGAAGGGAGAATGGCCACACTTCCTCTCACCTACTTTGGTCATGTTGTCAGAAAGGACCATTGCCTGGAGAAGGATGTCATGCTTGGTAAGGTGGAGGGTTGATGAAAGAGGGGAAGGTCCTTGTTCTGGTTACCTAGTGCCACTCTGACAAGAATATACCACAAATGGGATGGCCTTAACAAACAGCAGGTTATTCTTACAATTTGGAGGCTTTAAGTCAGAGTTCAAAGTGCCAGGCTCTAGGGGCTGGGTGAAAGCCCCTCAACCCTTTGGACTTCAGCTTTGCCTTCTGCTCCCAGCTCACTGGAGCTAGAGGCTTCTCTTCACTCAGACAGCTGCTAGCTGCTGAGACTGAGAAGCCCAAGATTGACAAATAAAAAGGTACAGTCCCGATGTCACCAAATCACACAGTAGGCCATTAACTCAAGTCCATTGAAAGTCCCAAGGTCAGCAGAGCATGGCAGGCTGCTGAAAAACAACACAGCTACATGCACAACTCAAGCATGCCATAAGCTAGAGACTGTTCCCAAAGCTGTTTCTTATATATGGGAAGCAGACCACATACCCAAAGACAGCTACTCAGCTGCTCATAGTAGATTCCACCATGGAGTTGATTACCAGTCTCATCATGGGGAATACTACATCCAGCTGGCCATCCACTCAACCAGGCCTAGCCAAGGTGACACACAAACTTAGCCACGACAACCCTCAACGAGATGTATTGACACAGTGGCTGTGGCAATGGACTCAAGTATAGCAGGGATTGCAGAGATGGCGTGGGAACAGGCAGTGTTTCGTTCTGCTGTGCATACGGTTGCTATGAGTCAGGGACGACTCAAAGGCACCTAATAACAAGGAAATTTATTTTCTTGCTGAGTACATCAGATGTATTTTTTTCTCTTCTGTATTACTAGTATTACAAAAATAACATAGGATCTTTAACTCAAAAAAAAAAAAAAAAAAAACCCTAAGCATGAGTGGCATGACTTTAAATGTTGTTGTTATGTGCCCTTGAGTTGGCCACGACTCATAGCAACCCCTCCTTGGGTTTCCAAGGCAGTATCACTAGGAAGTAGATTGCCCAACCTTCCTTCGGAGAAGTGGCTGGTGGGTTTGAACCGCCAGCCTTCTGGTTAGCAGTCAATATGCTACCAGAGCTCCTATTATTTTAAATAGAGCAATGTAATCCCATAATAGGTCATTCCCCCCCGCCATGTCAGGTATTCACGCTCAGCTCCAAACTCACCTTTCTATACTTGACATTGTGATGCTGTTGTTATTGTTCTTAGGTGCCATCATGTCAGTTTCAGTTCCTAGTGAGTCTTTGTACAGCAGAATGAAACACTGCCTAGTCCTGCACCATCCTCACAATTGTTGCTGGGTTTGAGCCTATTGTTGCAGCCACTATGTCAATCTGTTTCATTGAGGGTCTTCCTCTTTTCTTCTGATCTTCTACTTCACCAAGCATAATATTTTTCTCTAGGGATTCGTCCATCCTGATAATATGTCTGTTGTTGTTGTTATATGCCAATATGTCTGTAGTACATGAAAAGAAGTGTCACTACCCTCATTGTAAGGAGTATTCTGGTTGTATGTCTTCCAAGACACATTTATTCATTATTCTGGCAGTGCATGGTATATTCAACATTCTTAGCCAATGCCATAATTCAAATGCATCAATTCTTCTTCAGTGTCTTCCTTATTCATTGTCCAGCTTTCAAAAGCATGAGGTAACTGAAAATATCATGGATTGGGTTAGACACACCATATTCCTCAATGTGATATCTTTGCTTCTTAACACTTTAAAGAAGTCTTCAGCAGATTTGCACAATGCAATGCATCATTTGATTTCTTCACTGCTGAGCACATCCATGGGTACTGATTATGGATTAAAGTAAAATGAAATCCTTGACAACTTCAATCTTTTTTCCATTTATCATGATATTGTTTATTGGTCAAGTTGTGAGGATTTTTATTTTCTTTATGTTGAGGTCACAGCTGTATCTTTCATCTTCATCACTAAGTGTTTCAAGTTCTCTTCACTTTCACCAAGCAAGCTTTCATCTGTTTACTGCAAGTTGGTAATGAATCTTCCTTCAATCTTAATGCCACATTATTCTTCATATAATCCAGTTTCTCAGGGTTTTTTTTTTATTTTAAT